GATGTATGAGATCTCCCTGTCTCACTGCTCACTTCTGTCTTTTATATCTCAAGAGATTGCCTCAGGACACAATCCAGTCTTGTAGATTGAGTCCTGCCTTACTAACAAAACTGCCACCCATCCTCCCTCATTAACATCATAGAGGCAGGATTTACAACACATAGGATAACCACACAGTATCAGGAATCATGGCCCAGCCAAATTGACACACACATTTCTGGGGGGACATAAATCAATCCATGACAAGGGTCTTCCTCTTTTTTACTGACTCTCTACCAAGCATTATGTCCTTCTCCAGGGACTGGCCCCTCCTGATAACACGTCCAAACTATGTGAGACAAAGTCTCACCATCTGTGCTTCTAAGGAGCATTCTGGCTGTACTTCTGCCAAGACAGATTTGTTCGTTCTTCTGCAGTCTGTAGTATGTTCAGTATTCTTCACCAACACCGTAATTCAAATCCATCAGTTCTTCTTTGGTCTTCCTTATTCATTATTCAGCTTTCACATGCATATGAGGCGACTGAAAATACCACGGCTTGGGTCAGGCACACCTTAGTCCTCAAAGTGACATCTTTACTTCTTAACACTTTAAAGAGGTCTTTTGCAGCAGATTTGCCCAGTGTAATGTGTTGTTTGATTTACTGACTGCTGCTTCCATGGGTGTGGATTATAGATTCAAGTAAAATGAAATCCTTGACAACTTCAATATTTTCTCTGTTTATCACGATACTGCTTCTTGGTCCACTTGTGAGGATTTTTGTTTTCTTTATGTTGAGGTGTAACCCATACTGAAGGCTGTGGTCTTTGATCTTCATCAGTAAGTACTTCAAGTTCTCTTCACTTTCAGCAAGCAAGGTTGTGTCATCTGCATATTGCAGGTTGTTAAATGAGTCTTCCTCCAATCCTGATGTCAAATTCTTCATATAGCCCAGCTTCTAGGATATTTGCTCAGCATACAGGTTGAGTAAGTATGGTGAAAGGATACAATCCTGACGCACACCTTTCCTGAGTTTAAACCACGCAGTATCCCCTTGTTCTGTTCGAACGACTGCCTCTTGGTGTATGTACAAGTTCCACATGAACACAATTAAGTATTAACTCTGGTGAGCTAAAAATTCTACCTCTTGCTTATTATTACATAACTGGTTATTAAATTACTGTGGTATTTAGTTACTTATGTTTAAATTAAAGAAAAACATCCTTTTTCTTCCCTATGCTATACTATTATTAAGTATCAATAGAACAAAATAGCATTTTATAGTCATCTTATCAAATCAAGCAATCGCCAATCTTTTTAAATTATTAGGCATTTCCTAACTATGATTCAAAATCTGTAAGGCCTAAAAGAAACCAACCAAACCAAACCTGTTGCCATTGAGTCAATTCCAACTCACAGTGACCTACAGGACAGAGTAGAACTGCCTGATAGGGTTTTCAAGGCTGTAATCTTTATGGGAGCAGACTGACACATCTTTCTCCTGTGCAGCGGCTGGCGGGTTTAAACCGCTGACCTTTCAGTTAGCAGCTGAGTATTTAACTACTGCGCCACCAGGACTCCTGCCTAAAAGAAAAGAATGGTAAATTCAATCACACTAAAAGAAAGAACAAGTAAACAAAAAAGAGTATATGCACGACAAAAAACACTATAAGGCAAAAGTAAGACAACGAACTAGAAAAAATGCTTTCAAGCTATATCACAAGGGGCTACTCTCCTGAATATACAAGAACTCCTATAAATAGAGAAGAAAAAAATCCAATAGCTTAATATAAAATGGGTATAGAATACCAACAGTATGCAGAAAGGAAATAGATTTTAATCACAGGAAAAATGCTCAACATCACTCAGGAAAACAAATACGCAAATTAAAAAAAACTATTAAGACATGCCATGTAAAAAATTAACAGGGAGACAAAACCCTGAAATTTGATGCTGACTGTGCTGTGGGGAAACCAGCACTCTCCTACATTGCAGGTGGGAATGTACAATGACATAACTTCAGTGGAGGGCAGTTTGGAAATAATCATCAAAATTGTACATGCATTTATCCAATGACCCAACAATTCCATTTCTCAGAAACTTTCTACTGATATAACTGGAAATGTACAAAATGAAATACATATAAAGCTACTTATTATAGCACTCTTTGTAATAGCAAGAGACTAGAGAAAACACAAATGGTCACCAGTCAAAGAGTAAATAAATTATGGTTTAATCCATAAAATGGAATACTATGTAGTTGTAAAAAGAAACAAGCATGCTTTTATGTAGTGATAAGGAAAGAGCTCTTAAATGTATTGCTAAGTAAGAAAAAGCAGGGTGTACAACAACAGAAAGACAATCTAATCAAAAAACAGGCAAAAGACATGAACAGAAACTTCATCAAAGAGGACATTCAGGTGGCTAACAAATACGTGCAAAGATGTTTGTGATCACTAGCCATCAGAGAGATGAAAATCAAAACCACAATGAGATACCATCTCAGCCCTGTAAAAATGGTACTGATCAAAAAAACAGAAAACAACAAATGCTGGCGAGGTTGTGGAGAGACTGGAACTCTTCTTATGCACTGCTGGTGGGATTGTAAAACGGTACAGCGACTATGGAAAACAGTATGGCGCGTCCTGAAAAAGCTAGAAATAGGGATACCTTATGATCTAGCAATCATATATAGGTACATATCCTGGAGATAGAAGAGTACTGACATGAGTAGCCATACGCACACTTATGTTCACTGCAGCGTTACAACAGCAAAAAGACGGAAACAACCTAACTGCCCATCAACCGATGAATGGATAAACAAATTGTGGTAAAGATATACAACGGAAACTACACAACTACAAAGAATAATGATGAGTCCACAAAACATAACATGGATGAATCTGGAGGCATTATGCTGAGTGAAGTAAGTCAATCACAGAAGGACAAATATTGTATAGTCTCACTTTTATAAGAAGTCAAGAATAGGTATACACACAGAAAGCAATGTACTTTGATGGTTACCAGGGATGGGTAATAGAATAGTAATCACTTGCTATTTTTGGTGATGGGAAAGGGAATACCCAAAATGAGTGAAATCTACACAACTTGACCAAGGCAAAAGATGACACTAAGAAGTATGCAAGAATAAGGGACAATTTTGGTAAATGTTATAATGTACGATTTTGCATCAACAATAATAACAGCCAAAAATATGTGTGTGGTTTCATAGGTAGATATGTATGCATA